AACAATCTTCGAGATCAATCTCTGAAAATATTTATTCCAATTACATAAGATGCCTCACCCATATCAACCATCTAAAAATTTCTAAAGAGGTATTTCTTAGTTTTGTATAACAAACCAAGATCAATTATTAGTTAGCAAAATATCATTCACATATAATATCAAAAATATAAATTTGTTCTTACTAATTTTTAGATATATGCATTGATCAACAATATTTTTTTTAAATCTAAAAGATGTAATGGTATCATTGAACTTTATATACCATTATCTATAAGCTTGTTTAGGACCATAAATGAATAGCTTTAATTTGCAAATTATGTTCTTTTCCTTTCTTTGCGAACCGTTCAAATTGTTCCATATAAATATTTTCATCCAAATTCCCATTCGAGAAAGAAATTTTTACATTCATTTGATGTAACTCTAAATTAAAATGTACAAGTGTCATAGTGATTTTAAGGGAGTCTTTTTTAGAAATAGGAGAGAAAGTATCTCTATAATACATACCTTCATTTTGTCCTAACTTATCATATCTACTATAGTATTATCTTTATTATCGAATTATCTGATAATTATAAAAGTAACAGTTGTAAATGGGTCTTCAAGACCAAACACGATGCCAAAGGCATTATTGAACGACTTAAAGTCAGACTAGTGGTCAAAGGCATTAATTGGGGTTGTTTTACAATATTTTCAATGACAACATCTTCTTGTGGTAATGAACCAATTTTATTACGCAGCTCATTTTCTGTAACTTGCTGAGAAAGTTGAGTAACAATTGTTTCTTGAAGCAAAAAGGGTGGTGGGATATCTACTCTTATTTCCTCAAGGTCTATTTTTCTTAATTCTTGACTCCCATTAATTTTGCCATTCTCTAAGAATCTGGTATTGCTGGTTTTTAACTATTTTCGTGTCATAATTAAGACAGTAAAATCTATACTTTTAGGACTTATTTGGATAACCAATAAAATATCTAGATATTGTTCTTGAATCTAGTTTTTTCTCATAAGGATTGAAGATTATTGCCTCCATTGGGCAACCTTATATATGTAAATGTCTTAAACTTAGTTTTCTACCAGTTCATAACTCCGAAGGAGTTACAAATATTGTCTTATTAGAAACTCTATTCAAGATATACATTGCAATATTTAAGGCTTCACCCATTAAAGAAATAGGTATAGATGGGTAACTCATCACACTCCTAACAATTTTTATTAAAGTACAATTATGCTTTTCAGCAACACTATTCTGTTATGGCGTACTTGACATTGTGTATTTAGTGCGAATGCATATTTTTTTAAGAATTTGGCAAAGAGACCAAGATTGTTTTCTGACTCATCATATTTACTATAGTATTCACTACCTCGATCAGATCTCGTAATCTTAACCTTTCTACCTAATTATCTCTTAATCTTTGTAATGTAGACCTCAAAGATGTCAATGACTTGAGACTTATCATGCATTAGATAGACATAACTATACCAAGATAAATCTTCTATAACAATGATAAAATATCCCTCTCTAGTGAAATAAGGAATGTAGAGTAGTTTGCAAATGTCTGTATGAATTATCTCAAGAAGTTCATTACTTCTTATGACATTTTTCTTTGTATGTTTAGTTTGTTTTCCTTTTATGCAATCTACACATACTTGGAAATCAATGAAGTCAAAATTTTGTAAAATTTCATCATTCACTAATCTTTAAATTCTTTCCCTAGAGATATGTCTTAGCCTTTTATGCCACAAGAATGAAGAATTTTCATTAGTTAAGTCATGTTTTGAATCAATATTTAAATGTAAAGTAATTAAAGCTTGTGTAAATTTATGATTTCAATAAATTTTATATAAACTATCATATAAAATACCAGAACCAATTGTCATTTAATTAAATATTAAACTTACTTTTTCACAACCAAAATAAATTGAATATCCAACAACATCTAATTTAGATAGTAAAATTAAATTCCTATAAATCAAAGGTACATAAAAAGTGTTCAAAAGATCTATCTGATGATCAGTTTCTAATAGCAAGCGATAGATACCTACAACTATCACTTCTACTTCAAGATGGTTTCCTATATAGATAAACTTTTCACTTTTTTTTTTGTTTTCAGGTTGTAAGGAATCCTTACATTGAATTAGTAACATGAGTTGTGACTCCATAATTAATCCACCAAATATTAGAAGGAACCTCATTTGATTCATAACATATAAAAGAAAAATTTATACATCTCTTTTCAAACCAACCCTTATGTTTCGTATATTCCTTTTTCACATGACATTTCTTGCCACAAAAGTAGTAATTCAGAGTAAACTTTCAAGCATGACTCCAGATATTCTCTCAGGTCTACTTTGTTTCTTTCGTGAAATGTTGTTTACTTTTTAAGATTTACGTTTATTCTTCATAGCTCCATGAGTAACCATAAGGACAGAATTATGTCCATTTTGCTTTAGTATAATTTTCTCCTGTATACACTTGCTAGTAAGCTCATTCATGTTCTACTACTCATTATTAAAGTTATAGTGAATTTTGAATGGAGCAAACTGCGAAGGAAGTGAGTTAAGGATAAATGTACTGAGAATGACTCATACTTTTTCATACATAATGCCTTAAAGTTTTGCAGCCTTTTCAGCTATGTTCAAAATATATTGCTGAATTTTTTTCTGACAATTATATTTCATGGTGATCAATTTAGCCATCAATGTAGCTGTAAGAGATTTTTCAGTGCATTTGAAATGCTTATCTATAGATTTTAGAAATTATGAAGTTATCTTAGTTTGAGGGATGGAGGTTTTGATGTTAGTGGCAATGGTCATTCTCACAAACATAAAATTGAGTTTATTTGATCTTGTCCAGGTTTTTAATTGTTCCATCTACTCTAGAGTACTATCTTCGGTAGCTTCAGGAGATTTTTCAATTATTAAAGGTAGGTCAAGGTCCAATATACTTAGTGAGAATTGACCCCTTTTACACTATTCTGCAAAATTCAATCCATCAAAAGTTGTCATTAAAGATGCAATAGAATACAATGAAATGGGAGCTATAAAAACATAATAATGCTCGTAGTAAGGTCTCAAGTATATCTATAATATAGAATTAAAATTTGTAAATTATGAACTATTGATATCACTATAGTTTTTTCTTTGTACAAAACATTAGCATATCTAGTGTTTATTCAAAGAGGCTTAAAATACTTAATATTTTACATCATTTACATGTTATCTTTGGGTGTCCATCTAAATAATACAAGATAACTATCAGCTCATAATTAGTAGAAAATGACTATCATTTGGGTTAACTAACTTAAGACTCATCAATTTGCGTTACCTTGGTAAGTTGTCATGTTAATAAATCTTAAGTCATAAAACTATGAAATCATAATTTGTATAAAATATACATATATATTTACATTATGAAATTAATTATAATTTAAAAATATATACATATATATAAATTGTTAGTGTAATAATATATACATATATACAAACTCTTAGTATAATAATATATACATATATAAACTATGTAATAAAATATATAAATTATTAGTGTAAAATTCTAAGAAGTGTGAATTCAACCTGCTCTAATACCAAATGTAAGAATATTTGATGCAGAAGTTATTTTTTATTGAATTCAATATATATTAAGAAAAAACCAACAACAAAAAAGTTAGAGCTACGTACCATTTAAAGATGATGCAGTCATAGAGTGATTGAGAGACATCTTGATAAAATCTTTAATCATCTGACTCATTTTTCTTTATACTTAACTATTATGCACAATAATTTTAAAACTTTAGTTGATGAAAGACTCTTATGAAAGAGGAATTTGTGCTCATTGTATAGATGAAAGAAGAGACCAAAGCACATTCATGATAATTGAATGTGTTGATAACTATTTTTATTATTATACTTTAATTATCATAAAATATAATAATTTATAACTTATTTTAAGGTTACCATATCAAAAAATCTTTTTCTTTATAGTGATTATTTATTATTTTAAATGTTCTTTTAGTAGACTTCAACCGTTATAAATGAATGAGAAAAATAAAATATTAGATTAGTGAGTTATCCACTTAGTTATTGAAATTAACAATAAAGACTCAAAAATGCATCTTTGAACCAATACATTTGTGAAAATTAATTAGAATTTAAAATAATTAAAATTTCGATTCGATGATCATAGAGATGGTAAAAGAGGCCAAATGGCAAAAAGAGGGAGTAAGAAAAAATAAATAGAAGGATAGGTAAAGAATAAAGAAAAAAATAATTAAAGGGATTTCATCTCATGTTAAAGTAGTAGAAGTTTAGGAGGAATGCGGGAAGAAATAAACAATCAAAAAAATATAAGAAAAGAAAGAAGAAATAAAAAATTTAAGAAAAATAACAAAATTTTAGTGTAACATATGTAGAGAATATACAAGCTCATTTTAAATCTTATATATACATATATATATATATATGCATATATAAAGTTTGGTGAAGTTGGTAACCCATCAAGTCATATCATTGCAAATATTAATTGCACGTTGGATTACATTGTCGAATAATATTAAATATTTTAAAAGTTAATTTAGTACATGAATGTATATTAACTATTTATAGAAATATATACATGTCCTAACAATTAACTTAATACGTAAATATTGTTTCACACTAAATTATATTAGTGTATTTATACTAATACATGCATGTATATTACCCATGTTTAAAATTAATTTAATAGATACATGCATATGTATAATAGATGCATGTTTAAAAATTAGTAAATTAGAGAAAGAGGAAATTATAATTTGTTAATGTAATAACTCAGAAAATATATATAAAGAAACAAATAAATAAATACAATAAAAGAGAGAGAGAAGAGTGAAAGGGATGGTGTAGATTAAATTAGGGGAAAAAAAAGGGACGGTTGGGATGAGCCATAAGGTAAGTATAAATGGGCTGAGGAAATAGAAAAAAAAAAGAAAAAAAAAGGAGAAAGAAAGAAAAAGAAAAGAAAAAGAAAAAAAAACAAGAGAGAAAGAGTAAAAGAGAGCGGCCGAGGGAGATACATGGGAGAAATAAAGGAGACGACGAGGGAAAATGAAATCGTAGGGAGAATTCGAATGAGCAGAGGAGTTTAGTGAGTTATGGATGAGGGAGAGGAAATAAAGGCAAGAAGTAAGGGATATTTAGAGTTTTTGACTTGGTATGGTAAAGCAGACCAATTCTATTTGTATTTTTTTTCTTTTCCTAGAATCGGTTGAATGAGATGATGGGGAGTGAGGGAGGAGAGGTGCGGATGAGGTTATTAAGTCGAGTGTAGATGTCGTAATCTCTATTATGAGGAGGTTTTGTGTGGATAGAGTAAAAGTGGTCAGGTGAGAGTATAGATTGAGTGGAAGTTGTGTAGGCTAGGGCAAGGTCATAGGATCCGAATAGAAGAAGTGATTGAGTATTATGGAGCGAAGAAGGGGTCGTGACGTGGTCGATGTGCGTGTATGGCCATTACAGGCCAAGTGTGATTGTGTGAGCGAGCGACTCAGGGCGTCTGGTATGTATGTGTGTGGTAGACATTGGCCGAGAATTGTGTGTATTGAGTAGTTAAATTTATGTGATTTAGTTTGTGTGTGAGTGTGTGTGCGCTCCAGAAGAGCCGTGACGCAGTCGTGTGCGTGTGTGGCCATTTTAGGCCGAGTGTGACAGTGTACATGAGCATTCCAGGATAGCATC